ATTTAGTTTTTAAAATTCAACATGTGTACAAAAATTATTTAGTTTTATTGAATCTTAATGCAACATGTAGTTTAAAATTATTTTTTACAAATCCTTTAAGCAGCCACTTCATTCTTATCAACAGTACAGTGGAAAACAATCAATACACATTAAATTTATTTAAATCAGAAGTGAAATGTTTACATTTTGTCAATCTACTATTAATCTTATTGCTATCTTCTAGTGTGTAGTAGCTGTTAAATGAAGAAAATAAGATTTTCACAGTGATATTTTCCCAGGTGGAAATGCTACCACATTTCACTCTGAAACAACTCTAAAATCACATAATTGGAATGAAGTCTTGTAAAACCTGAATAAACAAGATTTGTTTGAAGCTTGACAATAGCATGACAAGCAACTTTAGCACCTGGTAGATACTTTTTGAAGAAATAACATAGAGAGTGGCATATTTCAACTTTATTTAGATAGGTTGTCCTTTTTCCCTTTAGTTGATGCAATGTATTATGAAAATGTTTTATTAAACAATTTCTACTATTATGGACAAAAACATGCTTACTTAGAAACCAGACACCACATGATACCATATGAATTAAAATAAAGATGTTTGCTATTTATCTGTATAATCTACAATGACTACCAATGCACAGAATAGTTAAAAATATGACTGTGTTTCTGCATTCAAAACTATTAGTTGTTAATTTCTGGAAAGACTGTGATACAACAATATTTTACAGTGTTGTCTGGTTGACAAATTACTTTCCAGATATGTGGTAGGGCTTTATGTTACTCTCTTCTTCCCTTTAGAAGGAAAGGAACTATGGCAGAGTTCAGGAAGAAATTATTCTTCTTTTCTGGAAGCTGCTTATTACAGACTCAGGATCAGGTACACTGAACTCAATTACTATCAGGGCTAAAACTGGAACATGACTATGTGTAACAACAAACCCCATCATCACCCTGATGAACAGCAAATGATGTAAGCGATGTAAGACCTTCTCCAGGACCAAACAACAACTAATTTTATCCTGAGATTGCCCCACAGATATACTTTATTTTGCATCAAAAAGATAAGAATTATGCTGTTTGGAGTAAGCTCCTACAGGTAATCAAAGCTCCTGACACCATTGTCACATTTATTATTTTTGTTTTCATCATCCTTCCCAATTGCTCACTTTTCTGCAAATTTTAGCTATTTCAATAACCAAATGTATATTTTTCTAATACTACTTTTCATTTTTAAAAAACCTTAATAATTAATAATCACACAATGCATTTGGCCACATGATTGCAAGAACTTGGAAAAAAAAAATTATTCCTAGAGGTGTAAAGACATCTGATAAATTTAAATTTAAGTCTAGGGTAACTAGCTTCTGTTTTAAAAGCACTTACTAGAAGTAAGAGGACACCTTTTTTTTTTTTCAGGTATATATTAGTATCTTGGTCATGCCAAGAGGTAATTGGCATTTATACTTATATGTGTGCACACACAATTACATGCATATATATTCAATATGCATTTGAAGTATTTCTGATTTTATATATTTAACCAAAATCAAAAAATACGTGTGGGTAGACTTCTGGCAGGAATTAATCAGCTTCCAATGTAATACATTAGAAATCAACACAGATATAGGCAGCAAAGGTGAAGCTATCTTACATAGTAACTTGCTTTAATGTGCATTTAAACCTACTGTCTGCCACGAAGAAATTCAACACATCATCAAACGTGCCACTGGATTATCACAAATGGCCAAGGAGACAAAGCCACAATTGAAAAATAACTACATTATTCTTTCTATATAAAATTCTTTTCATTAATGCTCAGCAACACGCATTTGGCAGCTGAACTGGGTATTTTTTTTTGAAGCAGCAGTTAACAATGCAATCCACAAAACAAAGATAAGCTCAGTGGTTTCCAGGAAACTGAAAGATGAAAGAATGCAGAGAGAGTCAGACATGGTTTCAAGTGAAGAACAAGGGAACTAAGGTCAAACTGAAACCTAAAAGAAATTCAGCAAGGGCCCAGATACCACGGTACAGATACATTTCAGTTGGATTGAAATTTCACAATGCATTTCAACAATGCATACAATACGTTCTTTGGTATATTAATTCACTAGGGACAATTTTTTTCAAAGTAAAGAAGGAACTCAGATTCCAAAGCCCTTAGTTTCACTAATTCAAGTGTAATATTTAGCAGATTCTATGTGTTTATATCAAATGTAGATTAGATTAAAGTTTTATCTTCTGGCTTTCTTTTGAGAGTTTACTCCCAGACTTACCTGAGACCATTAAGTCTTACAGCATATATGAGGTTAACTGTAGTGGAGGAATCAATAAATTTTATTATTTTAAAAACCAGCACCTACTAAATAGCCTCCTCCAGAAATATGATTAATGTATTTGTTCCCCTTGAAGAGAAGTTCATTACCATTAAAATAAATTTAAATAGTCCATTTTACAGTTGTGAAAAAACACAGCATTCTACCATACACACCAGAAGAAACTAATAGAGTTACCTTTATACATACTGCAAGTAATGTCCTAACACACAGAGCTAAATTCTACTTCAGTTATTAAACTATTCATAATTTCCACCTCGGAAGCAAAAACAAAAAATATTTTCTCCAAGGAACATTTCAAAATACATTTTAACCTAAGTTCTCTCAGACACTAAGTTTGTAAAATACTGTATTTTACAACTATCAAGCATAACCATGCATTCAGAAATAACACTCCTTACTGCTGGCAAATCACCTCCTCAGAGCAGAGAATTTTTTTTTAATTTTACATAGCAAATTATAATGATTTAGGAAAGAGTAAAGCAGAAATTGAAATTCAACGTGAATTTTAAAAATGTGGATTTTAAATACACAATTTTAAAGAAAGCAGGAAAGCAACAATGCTAAAAGCTGCACACATGGACCCTTGCCACAAGTGAGACGGAGATCTCTCACAACCTGTATTTTATAAAGTAGAAATGACAACTTTATTACCAGTGAAAATATCCCCTAGAACCATGCCTAAGCATTCAGCTTCTGACATACAGTGAAGAGTGCCACCTATTGAATAAAAACCAGTATTTCCAGAAATCATTAAATTATTCTGGAAACATGCAGTCTATGTACTCTCTTCCTCAGCCCAAGCTTTCAGCTTAGTTTTTCATCATGCAGTGTCTTGGCAGAGACCAGATTTGCCAAAATATTGCTTTGGTATAGAAACAAGGTCAAAACAAAACAACATATACGTTATCTGATGTAAGTAAAAAAATAAAAACCAATTATGTGTTTTTCATTAAAAAGAAAAAAAAAAGCACTCTTTTTTAAGGTTGTTCTTTTTCATTCAAGTAAGTGTATCCTTTTTATATACTTAACTTTACTGTTAGAAGGAAAACCTTACTTGCATTCAGACCTGAACCCTTCTTTACCTTCACTGACAAGTGAAGTATGTCACAGAGGACCTACTACTCACATATTTGACATCCACATGCAATGATCTCAGTCATGCTACAGAGCAGCAATGATCAGAAGACAGTGTGTCCCCCTGAAGATGCCCTGCCAGGTGCTACATAGCAAGCAGCAATGCTACACATTGGTGCAGGTGAAGTTCTGTATTTATAAACAGCGTAAATTGGCATTACAGTCTATCAATTTAGAGTTTAAATACACACAATCTAGTCAAGAAAAAATGGGTGGTATGTTGCAAGTCTGCATGTAATGTGATACCAAACAAAACTGCTATAACCCAAACAAGTTTTGGAACTGACCCATTTATAAACAAAATATTTTGAATGAGTCAGCAGCCCACTGCATTTCCCAGGCCTGCTGTAGACTATCATACAATCCCCAGACACATTTCCTCAGATTGTGCTTGCCTCATGAGCAAGGTCAGTAGTGACAAAATGTGATATAAAGGTCAATTATTAGAAAAATATTACAATATGCAGACTTACTTTATCTGATTACCCATTAACCTAGTCAATACACTAAAGTTCACAGATTTCCCCTATTTATTTGTCTCTCTCTTTTAACTGTTTAATACAACATAATAGTGTATTAAAATGAAGTTCTACTATTGTTTTGGTACTGTGAATAAATCAGAATTAAATATGCTCCCTTACTGTAGTCACACACACCCAAGTTAACAGCCTCTAAAACAATCACTGTTTCTTTGTCTGAAGTCTTTGTTCTCATAATTCATGTATAATCCAGCACTGCCAGAATAAACCTTGTTTATGTTGACTGGCTGAAACTTTTGCATCTACAGTAACAGTGCTATAAGTAATTGAGATTATACCACTGTGGTTATGCTGCCACCTGAATAACAAAGCTTTTGATCTGCACTGGAGATCCCTTTTTGAGGGTGATAAAAGATAACAGGAACAATATTTTTCCTAACTCTGATTATTGTAGAGAGTAAGCCTACTGCTGAATAAAGACCTCCAAGAGAAAAAGGTAGGCTACATGGATCTTTGGTCAGTCACAACAATCTTAGATATTTATGTTTTCCTTATTAAGCGAAAAACTCTAAAATGAGCTACACACAAGAAACAAATTTCTACAACATACAGACATAAAAATGCTATTTTTCTTTCAGTTTAGTGATAATAAAGAAAGATTACCACAATAACTTAGTGTATACAATATTCTCATCAGACCTGGTCCTCCAAAGAACACTGAAGTACATGAGCTATTAAAAAATTCTTTTAGGATGCATTTATATTATTGTTTATGCTATGCACCTCTGGGGAAGAAGAGCAGGATAATGTCTTTGACTTTGAAAGATCCTATATTAAAGATAAATATGCATTACAACCGGAAAAAAATTTCCCAGACCAAGAATAATTATTTGAGGCTTTTGCCTGCATATTTCTTTGAGGATTCCTTCAGAAATTGACATAAGGTTAAAAAAACTTGATTTTATTTAAAGATGCAAGGAATTACAAACTCCAATGTTTCCAGACTGATGGAAGAAAAATACAACAGAAATAGGAAACTTACAAGACTTCTCTCTAGGGATTCCAGCTGATAATCTATTTCTTTCAGACGATTCTCTTGATCACGCTTTTCCTTATTTTCCCGCAGAACATTTTCACCTGGAAGTGTTTCTAGGCTTCTATTTTCATAAATCAGAGGCTCCTGAGAAAATAATTGATAGAAGTTACCATGTAACTTGATATTGCTTCATAGAGACAGATAAGGGTTCTTCTGATTTCTACTAAGAAAATAGTGAAATGCTTAGAAAAATACATCAATGTAAAATTCTGCAAATGTAGTTTTCATTATGTATATTTTCAAGTACAATAGCTAAATATGAGGCAAAACATATTTCAATAAAAGAATTCTTACCCTTTGCATTTTAAGAGGAATTTCTTAGCCCCCAGATCTAACACCTGGATGCTTAATTTCTACTACAATAATAAAAGTGCTCTGAGAATAGGGTTGACTTGAATGACTGGTTCAAAGTTTGCTCCTCTTAACCATACTGGGATCAGAATTAAGCCAGAAGGAAAATGAAAAAACTGAGCCAAAATGACAACAGCTTTTTTTTACTAGGTATCATGATAAATGAGGAAAAACTTTCTTTCTGTAAATTGGAGTTAGTTGCCCAACTTTTAGTAAAGATTTGGGTTACACATTCTCACATCCTTCAAAAGGTTTGGACTAGATTCTGAAGTTTGTATCAGTCCCAAACACATTCAGGCTTCAGTATTACATGTAATTCATTTAATTGAGAATGACAAGTATTGGCAAAACTGCAAAGTTATGCTGTAATCAGAAAAAAACACAGAGCTTTCTCCTGCAAAGCACAGATTCTATAGAAAAATCCAATCCTGGCAAAGGTAAAAAAGTTTAAGCAAAAAACCTTCCCCTATCTTGATCATCAATTCAACTTAAAGGGACATGAGCAGCAATAGAATAAAAAAATACTCTATTCATTCTTACTTTCAGAAGCAGCTCAAGGAATTTTAATAGACACACAAGGAAAAAAAATTCCAAGTAGCATGACTAATTGAAAAGAAAAACAACCTTCACAATTCAACATTCAACAGTAAACAGCTACAATATACAAAAAACTGTATCAGTAAATAACTTTTTCTAAACATCAAGCAAATCCATGAGTTCTGACATATAAATTAAAAATATTAGTTACTTGAAAATAAACTTATTTTAATACAGTAAAAATTTTTAAATATATTTACAATCAGTCATAGTTGGCAGTACCACAATGACAATAAATGAAAGCAAACTTTCCTGTAACTGACAATCATATTTTTTGTTTCATTTTGTATTGCTTTCCAAGTTATTCATAATAATCTATTTGAGATCTGACCACGCTGGAGCATTAAGCTGCTGTTTTCTCATATGTAGCTCTTACAGCCTCACTTCTCTCATCCCTGAATAGTAACTGATAAAAACTCACACAATATGAGTAAAGTCAAGGCTTTTCCCCACTTAATAATTTTTTAACATTCTTCTCAAGATATAATGAAATAAATGTATAAAGTATTATGTCAAGGAAAACATTTTATTGACAATGTTTTGCATACTTCAGAATATGTTTTGTTTCGATTGTATGTGCATAGTAGAGAAGTCCATTTAAGATTACTTCATCTTTCATATTTTGAGATCTGTAGAAAATCACACTGTTGAACATTTTACATAAGGGAAAATACAAATACTAAGCAAGAGCCAAAGCTGTAACAAACATAATGCCAAAGAAAAATATGTAGTAGCTATAATTATTTGTTGCACTCCCTTTTCATTGAATTTTATAAATAAATAATAAAAAATTCCCACCTAATTAAGTATATTAGGTTCATACAACCACCTTGAGGCATAAAACTGGCTGATTAATTTATTAACCTGCTTCTAACAATGCTCTAAAACAGGTATCATCTGTGAAATTCATCTGTTTTGGCAAAGCACAAGCATAGAGCATAAGCTATAAAGGGTTTTATTAACTGAAAAACTAGTGTATTGTCTGAATTTTTAGTATTTATTTAATCTTAACTTGGTAAGTGTAGAGCACTTCTATAATAGAAAAAGGGAATATTTTCCTGATTAAAAAAAAACCACCAGTTATAAAAGAACTTCTCATGGTAATATACACTAATTATCTTTCAAGACAACCAAGCCTACAGATATTATTGCTTCTTTAAATACTGTCTTCATTTGCTTTAGTTTTCAGGTAGTTTTTCAGGCTGGTAACTATACTCATCACACACAGTCTTTCACTTCATATTCTTCAGTCTATCATTTTCCTGTTTCTTTCAGGATTAAATGCAACTTTATTTATTCTTCCCCAAAAATATCAAGTAAGACAGAAACATTTTTAAATATTTAGTTGATTTGGCACCAGAGCAAAGAAAGATTTCTGGGAGAAATGCAGTACTGGTGAGAAACATCTCCATGTAAAAGACAAAATTAGTCATGGAAATGCATTCTTAATCCCTCTGGACTCCTTGTACAAAAAGATGAACATCTCTGCTTGTCTGTTACAGCTCAGCTATGGCATTGCAGGATAACTGAAGCCCATTTTTAAAGATTTCAGAGTGAGAGTATAATTCCTGTATCCTGGCAAAGTATCCATCAGTGACAAGAAGGACATCTCCCACAGAGGCAACAGTGATTAGGTGTCTACATTTTGGAAACTATATCTAAGATGATTCTTGGAAGAAAAGAATGTACAGCTTCATCATATGCAACTCTAAGCTAATTCTAAAATAAAATCATAGAACTAAAATGTCTGAAAGCTTTTTACATGCTGCAAAACTGCATGGGAACAAAACAAAACTGAAAGGGAACTGCTTTTCACTAATGAAAGGTAACAAGGAATTAGCTACCTGGTTTTGATTGTTAGGTTTAATATTTCTCAAAAAAGATAATATGTTAGTCTTTAATTAGCATACACCTCAATGCAAGTTTCTGTTCAAACACTTCTGGACTATTACCTGAAAGGAAGCAACAACAATAACTTAAACATTTCCAAACAGAGCATTCATTATCCCAGGCAAGTGACATTAACTTCATGCTGATGTCTTGCAACACTGAACACAAAATCAGGCAATCACTGCAAGCTCAGGTAACAACTGCATTTGTTATGTGATTACCAACAAGAGGGAGGTGCCTTTTCATACATTAGATCCCAGATGGTAAATGATCAACATCAAAATGTGACTCCCCTGGAACTGAGCTACAGAAAATACTGCTAGAGGTAAGGCAAAACCTCACGCTCAGAAAGAAGCCAATAAAAAATTACATTAAGGTGCCCTTACAAAAGGAGAAAAAACAAACCCACAGGTATTTTAACCTTTCAAAGAGATGTTTCTCATACACTGGTAACTGCAAACAGTTTTGTGAATGAACATTTTTACAGATATTCTCTGATACCTCAGTTCTGACCATAAAATGAAAATATTACAGAAGTATATAAGCTTTGTTCAAATAAATGAAAAATAAGAATTAGGGTTTTTTGGTTTAAACCCCATTATATTAGAGGTAACAGTATCAGGACATGGGATAAATTGGAGTCTTCTAAGTACAAAATTCAAACAATCATTTCTCAAGGTTGAGACCTTGATTCTTAATCTTCAAATCTCAATATTGCTGGCAAGGCAAAAAGACAAAGGCCATTAAAAACAAGGGACATACAATTTCAATCTATCTTCTACAGTCTTTAACATTGCTTATCAGTCATTGCCTTATCCTTCAGATCATAAGTGAACAGGCACTTTTGGTATCCTGAGATAAGAAGAAACCTAATTCTAGCTCCCAAAGGTAAACTGTCATGGATAATTTGTTTCTATGCTGAAAAAAAACACCCTCATGCAGTCAAAAATGTATGCATTACCAATTTCTTAACATGATCCTGGAAGTGTGGAATCAACAACTTAAAAACAAGTCAGTTCTCAAATTACATATGACTCAAAATAGCAACAAATTATTTTTCCATTATTTTCTACAGCTAAAATTTCTCACTTCATTCCTTAACACACAGACTTTATGAATAAATAAAGGATCCTAAAGAAAAATGCAAAAGACACAAATACAGCCAAATGCAGTATTAATGTCAGCACATACTTTAAATAAAATATCTGCAGATAAGGTCTGATTTGTAACCTACCTGATATATCTGGCTTGGACATTTTGAGCCAGAGCTGGAAAGAGCAGGAAACTCCCCAGCAGATAGTAGCAGTTGAAGCTTACTGTCTATCTCATTCAGGAGATGAACTTCCATCAGTTCAGGTGTGTACCCTTCTCCTGATGCCTGCCAGACAGCTACATTGTCCTGTTGGAAATACAGAAAATATTTAAGTCTCATTCACAAAGGAAATAGACTTTAAGGACAGTGTATTTGTTTTTCAGATAAACCATACTTAATAATAAAATGTACATTTTCATCCATCTCACTATACAGCTAAAATTTCCCAAATAGTCATGTCCCTAGCACACTCAAGAGCAGCTATGGACAGAACAAGTAGAGACATTCATCACTTTTATATAACCAAGGAGCAACTTAAATGGACAACCACTTTCCCTCTGATAACGGAGTCAAAAAGGGAGAAAGCCTAACCAAAACTTAGTTTGGAATGAAACTGCAGAGGTTGATACTACAGCAGAAACCACCTGGAGCCAAATCTCAAATGGAGGGTATGAGATGTAATGTGACACTTGCAAGGTACTACCAAAGAAGAAAAAATGCATTCATAGGAAATCAAAGGAACTGCTCTGAGGTCAGTAGCTGCCATCTTTCTAGAGCCCCTGTGTGTTATCACAGAAACTCTGGGAGAGACACAAAGCAGATCATTATTTACCTGACATTTTCCTCTTGATAGCAGTTAACACCTGAATAACACCTATGAATATATACTCCTACTACATACACTTACATATTATGAGTGAGCTGCATATTATGAGTGAGCTTACATATTGTGAGTGAGGCAGGCCACTTAAGCCAAGCAAATGAGCTCATACCCACAGACAGATGCAGGTTCTTCACAGCAACTTGGCACTCCCTGCCTCACACTCAGGGAAGCAAGTCTGCACAACCGCCATCCACTGGGTATCAGAGTAGCAGATTACATCTCTGTCCTGACCACAATGAAGCAGTAGATCGGACCTTAGAAGAGGAAGGATGTGTGGAAGGACATGAATGTATTGCTGGCTTCCTTTCTTTTTCCTACCAGAACAGGACCAGCACCTTGCCCTAAGACTCTAACATCTGCCTTGCAAGAAATTCATGTCCACCATTTGTTTCCAGCTTCCAGATTAGTCCTCTGGCTATTCAAGCAGTTGCATCCATACAAGAGGAGGAAATATCAGCTTCCAATTACAATACCACTGCTATGAGGTCATTTGTGGTTCATCCCCATTACCCTAAAGCACATTAGCTGCAAAAAGAAAAAAGAAGCATATCCCAAACACCTGTCATAAATTATCTCCATAATAAATGCAAAAATAAAATAAAAAAAAGAAGAGTCAAGAGAGAGTCATCCTTTTTGTGAAACAAAATCAGTTCTAATGCTTTCTCATACAAGTATGAAGAGACACAGCTTATGAGCCTGACCAGACCTGAGCTGACTTCAAAATAGCCACTCAGAAATATATTAGATGCTTGCCAGCTTTGTGGAAACATCTGTTCAGGTGAGATAGTGACCACAAAAACATAAGTATTCTGCATGGTAATACATTTGTGTCATGTTAACCACCTCCTAATCAGAGAATGAAGATCATGGAGCAAAAAGGCAGAAATTACAGGAGTCTGGTGAGATGTAACTGGGCTCATTAGCTGCAGCTCAGTGTCTGTACTCCATACTCCAAATATCCAAATTACCCCAGCAGTCATTTTACTCCAGGATGAAATGGACTCACACATTCTCTTTTGTATTTTCAAGATAGCTTTGCTTGGAAAATAAGCTTCTGTCCTGTCAATGTTTCCTGTGTGTTAACTCGGAACAATACTTTTATAACAGCACAGTCAGTGCTTTCTGTGGAACATCTGAAACAATTATACCCCTGCAGCTTCAGCTTTGACAATTAAATTAGCATGAATATGTGTATTTCTAAAATATTTTAAATACTTATAAACCATTCTTTCAAAAAGTGAGAAGTGCTGTTTGGATACTTGGCATATATAGTAGCACAAGTCAAATGAGGTTATCTAATCCACATTACACCACACAGAGGAATTCATACAACATAACCAGATCTGCCTTAATTGGCAGCCTCCAAAACATTACTTCAGCCAATGTAATTGCACCAGCTTTTTGAAAGTCAGAATAAAATAAGATGGAAGAGGCCACCAGCTAGATAGTTACCTGGGCCAGCTTGAAGTTGTCTAGATTACTCATTAGCTGATAACTTCCTCATGATTTTCGTTATGAAGTAGCCACAGAAAACGCCTCACCCATAAAAAAATTCAAATGTAGGATAGGTAGAATCTATCATTGGACTAGACAGGTCTAACTAACTACTATTCTTCCTTTCACTCTACTTTGATAGAAGTTAGGAGCTTTTTTCTTCAAATTATCTATTACAGACTAGAGTAACCCACAAACTACTATTCTTGTCTGTCGTATCAAGCACATACAGCAAGACACATGTCCTGTGAGATGATCTAGTTCATATCTAATATTAACAGAAAAATATAGACACATGACAACACGTGCCAAATTCAAAATGTGGACAAATGTTACACTTTTCCATTGCCTTGATACCTTGAGAATTGATGCCAAAAAAAAAAAAGCACATATTGTTAGTTAGTATTTGCTACTCTGCATAAATACCTCTAAATTCTATGATAGGCACTAGCTAAAAGAGAAAGAAAACCTAGTAACTACGCATTTTTAGAGAATACTTTTGAAATCAGCAAAATTAATTCTAAAAAAAGCCCACTATTCCCTAGGTCAGAAAGCTATGTTTACTAACAGAAGGTTGTTTAAAACATCTTCAGATCTTTAAATGATGACATTTATCAAACTGAAGCCCATCTCCTAGAAAAAGTGATTGATGGGACAATCAAATACTTTTTGTTACTCTACTTGAGGATAATTTTTACTTACTTCATAACTTGCTAGCTGAAATATTCACAGAAGTATGTAGACTGTGCACTGTTTAATTATATTATCTTAAAGCATAGATGTCTAATGCTTAAGCAGACTTTATATACAGACTGAGTTGGAAGCCACAAAAGATGTCACATCTTTCTAAATGGACACACAAGCTTCATAAATGTGTATTTCCCCAATTACTGCATTGTTAAGTCCATTTATCAGTTGTCAAAAAACTGCTGTTGGGAGGTTTTTGCAACTAGTTCCTGGTCTTCCTCCCTGAGACTACAGCACTAACCACTCAGATTGATACTCCACAACTTCACATACTATGGTAAAACAAAAAGGTCATTTTCTCCAAGTGTTCTAAGGTTCCCTCCTCCTGTGCCTAACTTTTCTTTTAGGTTCTGCTGTTAGTAAATTAACAAAGAAACCAATGATAATTCATTTCTTGAGACAAATTCAACAAGATCTATCCATATTTTCTCTCATATCTCAGCAGGGTATTTCATAGTAAAACTTAGGGTATTTCTTAATAAAACTAAGATCAAATTTAGATTTACTGTAAAAATACAGCAAATACAACAGAACAGTACAGACCAAATTTGTCATACCTCAAAATCTTGCAATTCAGATTCATCTTCTGTATCTTTCAATAGTTCAGTAACCCTCTTCCTTTCTCCCTCAAGCATAACAAATTGGTTTCCTGAATCCCTTGCTAGCTGAAATATTTAAAAGAAAAAATCCCATGCTTAAGAACTCCACTAACTCAAACACCTCCAAAACAAAGCTTTTAAACTCAATGAAATTAACAACCAAATCTTGTCTATTTCAATAATACAAATTATCACTCTGACAGAAAAATATAGCAGCCTACATATAATAAATTTATAATCTTATCTTAGTCTTTGACATAGTGGGAAGGCAAATATATTTCAATTGATGAAAAATTATGATACCTACTAGGTCCTCACAGGAAAAAAAAAAAAAGCAGGAAAATCAAGGGATGTATTTTCTGACAAAACATGGTCCCATCTAGACTATACATGAACAATCTGTATATCTCTCCCTTATTTATGCATCAGGTTAACAGTAAATAAAATTAAGTTTATTTCAGTTAACAGTAAGTAAGTATTTAAAAAGTCTTAGGATGTTGCCCTTAAAAAAACCTATGTCCGGGCACAAACACAACAATTCCGTTTCCAATTTTATCCACTCTTTATCAAATGCACAGAAGCAGTATTATCCTAACCAATATGAGCATCCAAGTTGAGAACTTCCTAATACAATATTCTGTCATAAACAGCAGTTTTAACAGAAAGGTAATTTCTTTACATATGCCTAATTAGCTTCTAAAGTTCCTGATTTTGAAAGAAAACTGTCTTCAAAAGTACTTATCTACTAACAAAAGTACTTATCTAGCTAACGTTAAAAATGTTACTGATTTTATGCTTCAATGCTTACCTCAATGTTCTTTTTAATGAAATGCTGGTTGGTTTGATTTTTGCTATGCGTTTTTTCTGCTGTTTTTTCTGTTTCTAACTCACTTGGATTATCTGATGTTTGAGGAAGAAAAGTTGGTACATTAAAATCATTCCTATTTTGATTCAACAAGAATTGTAATAACATCAATCCCATTCAAACCTTTAGAAAATATACAGAGTCAATAGACAAACATTTTGTATGATGTTTTCATTATTTACGTAAATAGTATTATGTATTATTGTGTTTAAACCATACTACTGCCAAAATCTAATTTAATTTTCAACTTTTTATTATATGAAATTACTCAATGTTACAAAGGCTAAAATACTTTTGGATTTCTGACCTCAAAAATGTTAAACATGGTGGCCTTAGAAGCCACAGCATTCCTTTAAACCCTATCATTGTTGCAGTTTTCTCATCATTACAAAACCAGACAATAATTTTTTTGAAAACCACAGAACTATCTGGAGACATATCAAGTACATTTTTCTCAATAAAACAGCTGAAAAACAGATGATATAGTTCATATTATTATAACATAGCTTATAAAACAAATATTGTTAAAAAAATAAAACTCATCATAGAGCTGTAAATCTATTAAACACACACATGATATTCTAATAACAATAGGTTTCTATCCATGACAAAAAAAGGGCATGATTCTGCTTTTCAATGATTTTTACCACGCTTAAAATAATAATTGCTTTACAAATAGCAAATATTTGTCACATTATATAACAAGTCTAAGCAAATATAATCAACTTCTAAATAATAAGAACTGCTTCAAAAGCAGGCATGATACTTTTTGCTTTTCTGGAAAGCAGAAATTTGAAAAATGGGTGGGTTATTTCCCTACAAAAAAAAAATAAAAATTGACATGTTAGATAATACAAGACAGGCTATATGGAAATAACTCTTTTTCAGAGTGAATAGAATGAAAGCAAACCCCCAAAGATATGAAATAAATTCCATGCATCCTTTACAGAAAAACCTTAAAGGACTGAGGTGTTGGATCTGACCAGGAAACCCCCTCACACTTCAAATGCACAACTGCTTTCTGAAAGCATCCTAAGCTTTCTTTAGCATTACCAGGCAACATCATGTGTCAAGGATCATATAGGAATGTAAACATCAATATAAAGATGACAAGTTGCATCCTGAAATGAGCAGAACACAGCAAACACCAACATAACTTGCAAGATACACCTTACTTTTAAGCTGTATCTTTCACTTGACTGTAGAATAGCATTTTTGAGAGGGACCTATCATACAGAACATCTCAGAATATTGAAGAAAAAAGGGACAGACATGGATCACTGAGACAGAGAATACACTGAAGACTGCCAAGAGTAATTAAAAGAGACATTGCAGCTAAACAAATTTTGCATATGCATTTTGGTGGATTTGGCACATATTTCAAAGATTTGGTATAAATTGAAGAAGTAAGAGCATAAAATTAGTGCATTCTTCTTCACAAGTTCCTCTTGTTCTTGGTCTGCCTTTATGACGGCTGTGACAGAGAAATCCAAAAGCAACCAAGACAGTAATTCTTAGCTATTCACATCAAAAGCCTCCAGCAGAAATAGGAAAAGTCATTTAAAGCAATATATATTGCTCACAAGCTGTAAGTGATCTCTACGTCATGCATTCCCAAAGCAGGAACATGCAGAACATCTCAAAATAGTGCAACTGATAGCAACTCCCAACCATGCTTGTACTGGAAGCTCCAGAAGTCAGTGCTGTATTGAATACTGGTAACAAAACCATTATTACATACATAGTTATTCAGGGGCACTCCAGCACAACTCAGAAATTTTGAAGAAAGAAGCTGAGGGTCAAGCTTTATTTTAATGGAGGAATGAAAACACATGGTAGAAAGATGGAGAAATTAAAAGCTCCAGCCCTCAAAGATAAGGTCACATATTGGGGAACTAAGACAAGTGATAAAATGATAAAGGAGCTGAGTTCCATATTTAGAAATTAAAACATGCAGTCACATTCTACAAACTACAGAGATACTGCTGCTATCAATGCTTCAGCCTTAAGGAATGCACTTATGTCTTTGTCATCTTACCCAGTCACCAGAAAGATAGATTCCTTCTGTTTACATAAAATGGTAGTTGACAAAGAAATATTTTTCTTATATCACAACACATGTGAAAAGTTACTAACCACAAAATTTGAATACCAAATAGGAAAAGAATAGAGGCATACAAGGACAATTCCATTTATTTTTACATGATGGACACACTACACCTCTAACAGCATTTGAAATGTCTATACAGTGTATGATAACACACAGTCCCTAGAAGAATCAAGAGGTGTTTGAGTTAAGAAAGTACTTATTTCCTAAAAGCAATGTAGACTTTACAATAATCAGCATAGCAAAATATAAAATAAGTTGTCTGAAGATTTGTTTCAAACAAATCCATACAATTTCTGCTGAAAAAAAATACTGAACAGTTGCAGTCAGATTCAGTACCACTTGTCATTTCTAGATGGCTTATTGAATATAAGCCTATTAAGAAAAGCTGTGATACCTTAGAGTAATAGCAAAGATAAGTTTTTAAAGAATTGCCATGAAGAATCAATGGTATATTTTACAGTATATCAGTTACACACCTCTTCTTGTTGAAATGAAAGAAAAATGGTTTTCTAAACCCAAAAGTAAAAATGTTCTTAGCATGTTGAGTAAAATGCTTTAGCTAAGTCACAAAGCTGTCCTCTTCCTTCATTTGGAAAAAAGGTAAGAACTGTCACTCTTCAAGTAAGTAACCTTGCTTTTTCCCATTTCATTGGCCTTGCCAAAAAGGCTGAGTCTTCATTATCCACTCATTGTACATGTTGTTTTGCCATTTCTAAAAATACAAACTCTACCATTAATAGAGCTTACCCTGGTTTTCTTGGGCTTTATGGCAATCATAATCTTCAAGATTCATGTGTGTGTGAAATACTGAAGTACATATTTCATCTTCTTTAGCATGGGAAGGATCTGTAAGGAATTTTTTTCCAGTAAAATTTAATTGAAATGTATTTAAAGAAAATCTATCATTATGTGTATCATACACTTAGAAAGTAAAGAAAATCACTTGGATAAATGACATAGGCATTGTATTTCTCAAGAAATAAAGAAGGGGGAAAGTGTAAAGTGTGTACACTGTTTCTTATGGCCATGTTCCTGTTTTTAACAACTATTGCCTATAGAAGACAATTCATCACATTCTCAAAGACATAGCTCAAGGCCCTAAAGTTCAAATGCCTCTGCAGACACCATGTGGCAAGTAATCTAAAACTTTGAATGAGAGTAAGGCATCCAGGTTTTCACAGCTGGTGTCTGCCTGTGCATGAATTATTAGACTTCCAAACAGCTTAGGTCAAGGACATAGTCTAGAAAAACAGTGTTCAAGCATCCTAGTTGTTTCAGTTATTCAAAGAAAAAAAAAAAAATCAATTGAAGTATTCACATGTGCCAACTGGAAATACAAGTTAGAGCAGTACAGTGCAGTCTTTACACCTAGCACTTACAGAAAAGGACTCATATTGCAAAGAACCAAATTAATTACATGTGATTTTCACAATTAAAAAAATACAATAATCTGTAACAATGAAGTGTAATGGACTCAACTGAACAAATTATTTTGTTAAACAGAGCATGGGTTAAGAAATTTAGGGCTGTTTAATTAACCTCTGATTTACATTTCTGCTGTGTGTCAGAAGGTTTTTTTGTGCCTGAAAAGCTTGGAACACTTAAGTTATTAATGATTTTTTACCCAAACTTGTGCTTGATTTAATTGCTACATTAAAAACCATAATAGCTCTCATGTATAATTTAATTAATAAAGCTCTATCAAATTCAACTTTTGAAATCAAAATACATTAAATGTATTCCATTTCAGTATCAACCAGAGCAGTAATTAATTATTTAACTAAATAAGTATCTAAATAAATAAGTAAGACCCGAAAAGTAAGGCACTAGAATGATACAGAAAATGTAAAGATCAAGCTGGAGGAAAACTATAAATCTAAACCATACAGTTTTGTCAATGCAGTACACCAGAAACCACACGATGCACACGGTCTCTACAGCAGCTACTTTTGAGATAAAGGAGTTAGCAGTCATATAGTCTTGCTTGTCTACTGTTATTTTAATATATCCTGACATCTACTGGACACTGTCTAAATACCACCCAAATCAAATTGTTTTCTTCCCTTACTAACCCAAACTTTAGCATAGAAATAAAAGCAGGTTACATTGTAAATAGTAAATTTTGTTGAAATATTTTAACTACACAGTGGTTAATCCATAATAACCATTATTATGCATGTACTTCCAACATTCAAGCTGAGATTTTTTGCTCAGCAATAACCATTCAGACCTCAAATCCTTATTCTCTCCTCAAAAAGAGAAAAGATAGGATGTATCATGATTCTGTTTCTCTTAACTTACCAGCTGTATTGTGCCATGTGGAGAACAAAGCTAAAAACTGGTTTGTGTTTTCCACCTCCTCGTGGCTTCCTGTGGTTCTGATACACTATTCAAAAGAAATAAACTATGTATGTAAAGATACATGCACGTATTTAAAGTAAATTCTTTAAAGTGAAATATATTGTCTGCTTATCAGATCTATTGCACTTCAGACCCTATGAAAAATCATTCTTCTCAATATATTTTCTTCTTGAGGCTATCTGAATATCTCCTGAAGTTATGACAAAAGTATGGTGACACTTTAAAGCCTCTGTTACATATTGTCTTTTATGTGGAGACCCACTTCACCAGACAAAGAGGTTCTGTAATATCTATGCAGCTCCAAATCCCAATCCAATGAAATTATGAAGTGCAGTCAAACCAATCATTATTTTTAGCAGTTCATATTTATATTCATGTAAAACAGATGAAATATTAACTTGTTTCAAGGCATTTAACTGCTAGAGGCCAGGACAAGGATAGGGTAATGGAATTTGTGTTGTAGCAGTCTTATGCGTTCTTCAGGCACCACCTTTAATTTCTTCAACAACAGACAGTACTGAAATAGCTGGGTCTAAGAAGGATCCCACTTGCAGAATAAATGCCTTTCAGCCTGGGTTCACAGATGTTACCTCCTGACACACCTTACCCTCCCTACAAGCAGAGAACTCATGCTAGTAAACCACACCCACACAGCTGTATATTTGGCAATTTGTCTTGGTCAATTTTTAAGGATCATCTCCTTCCTTCAAAGGCTGCCTAGCCAATATGTATTAAAAACTATCCAATCTTATTTTTAAGACCCATTTCTTAATTTTAGTTAGCCAACTGCAAGCTATTTAATAATAAGGCTTCTGTGAAATATGATCATTCTGTAAGACAGTACTCTAAGATACATCAGTCACAAAATAAGCAGAGCACTTCTAACCTGAAGTTCTTCCCAGAGCATTGCCCTCATTTCTCTGCCTTGCTTTTTAACTACTTTTTCCTTAAAACACTGTTTTTCAAGTATTGTGTCAAGTTTATTCATTTTCTTTATAGCTGCTTGAATCTGAGCATTTATATCCGTGTCTTCAGAACATTCCAAGTCAGAAGAGTCTGCTCGAGAATATATTTTAAATTAACGTTAGCTTGAAGCATGTCCAAAAAACACACAAACATTAAAAAGCAGTTCTGGTAATTTGGCAACACCCATAGACAAGAGTACAACATTCTCAAACATATGTTAATTTCGAAACCTGTTTGTAAGCAGGGAAAAATACAAAAGTCTTTGCAACATGCTGAATCAAACTCTGAGCTGTAGCAGTTGGATAAGGAAGTGTGGGAGAGGAAAAGTCACCTATTTTGGGCAAGTGATTTGATTCAAATTCATAATGGCAGAGTGACAACATCTACACAGTATCAGCAAAAATCACTGAGTTTAAAAATATAAAATATTTTTTTCAGCCTGACTAATAGAATACACTTCAAAATTAGTAATTCTGGGGTTAAGAGAGATTCTATAATATCTCTGCCTTTAAATACTGACTCTAGAAAGACATTTATATAAATAATGAAAAACGGTGAAACATGATGGAAATACCATTATTTAATTAAAGTAGATGTCTACATTGTCTCCTTTTTTTTCCTAAATATGCAGATTATAATTATAACTTTTACCTTTTCTCCTTCCTATAGCATCCTCATACTCTGATCTCGTTTATGGCTTCCACATTAAGAGTACAGGAAACACTTGCAGCACTTTTCCTAATCCCACAGATTTACAAATTTTGGAGCCCTGCAACACTCTGTTTCATTGTCTAATCTTTTGAGGTCAAGTGCTTTACATAGCCATTGATCCAAGCATTTGCTGTGATGCATTGGTCTACTTTATGCCATCAAAAGATCAGGGATACAACAAGGGGAGAGCTATAAAAATCCAAGTGAGCTACAGAAGAGAGATGGACAGAAGGACAGATGGCAAATAAAAGAGCACTTATTTCAACTGGCCTGAATTCAGCAGATTGATATAAACCTTAAATTACTGAGTGAAGCTTTAGGTTGAGTTCTATCAAATTTCTATTCTGTAGATATTAATATCATGTTTGATGACCAACACTGGATATGATAACCACTGAATTCTGCCTTATTAGACTGATTGAATCCATGGAAAACTTAAATTCCTTTATAGCATTAAAGAAAATTAGTATCCATTAATAAAGAAATCTCTAAATAAAGAATTCATCCAATATCTCTTGAATACCACAATTCATATACATGTTCAATTTGCAGTATTCCTTTATAACTATATAATATACATACAAATACAAAACTATTACAAACTCTCTTAGAAGCTTTAATAAGAAAAGGAAAAGGTTTTATTGAACTGCTTATTTTATACACCTGAAAAGTACTATCTGATTTTGCATTACCTAGTTTTCCTGGGGAAGATTCATTGGATTTCAAAGTTTGTGAAGTAACATCTGACTTTGCATTACTTGGTTGTCCTGGGGAAAATTCACAGAATTTTGACGTCTGTGTTTCAGTGTTTACATCTCGAGAATCTGAATTAGAGCTACATCCTGAAAAATACAGGGAAAAGCCTTTCACAATAAACCAGACACAATTTTGTTAAGTAGGGATCACCACAGAGCCCTTGCAGTGGATTAGTTTAAAAAATAGCATATACTAGTACACCAGAACTCATGTTAAAAACAGGAGCAGGAATCAAGGAATTTCTTTTGACCCAAATTCTGTCATGAAATCTTAACTAAATTTCAAGAAAATATTCAAACATCTACTTCACTCACTGGTCTTTGCATCTCTATTTGAAGCAGTCAGACACTCCAGAACATTAATCCATCACCACTTATAGAATGGCAGAAGAATGCCATGAAATACTTCTGCAAGAGCTTCAATTAAAGTTATACACTGCATGTATACTTATATATATAATATATTTAAAGTGTTTTATTAATATTAATATTGTTCATTTGTTAAATACTGTAATTCATAACCATAAATTCCAGGTTTATGGACAGGTGGACCATTATTAGGATACGTTTCTAACAAATGATTATGATTACTCTGAAAAGTTAGATAAAAAACACTTAATGAAAACACTTTCTAACATGATTCCACGGAACACACACAGATGGGTTTTAATGATCTTTTAAGCCAGATCACAGTTTATGATGCCACAAGACATTTACTGTACTGTCCTGACAGTAATAACACATTTCTTTCAAAGGTGGATTTCAAAAAGTGAAGAGAAATGAAGGTACGGATTTTGACATCTTCTTTTCCAGAATTTTGCCTATTTGCAATCTCTATTCCCTCCATCAGTAGAATTTTACCTGAACTATGAAACTTGATACTTGGTCTAGACACAATCAAAGATTTAGTCATCCCCACCTGACAACTCATCAGGATTCCATAGACACTTGTGAAGGGAGAAGGTCATGCTCTCCACTGCTTGCTGATCAGTTCTTACTTCCTGGACATCAGATTTATCTCTGTCATCACCTTTATTTTCTGCTGGACAGCAATCTTCTAGACTGCCTCTCTGATAACCATCAGCCAAACTGACAGGTGAATCAACCTATGAAATGCAAATTATTGCCACCATGAAAACAGGGATGTTTTGGGTGAAGAAGAGAAGCACAATACTCACATGCTATCACAAAGGACAACAATTCTGTACAAGACTGCAGAGTACTTCTTAAATAACAGAACCATTTTCAGGTCTGATACTGATACTAGGAAAAAGCTCTTTTTCTTAGATTTTACATTGAGTCTCCAGCTCACCATTCCCCAGACTGTCAGATTTGGGATTGTCAGGTTACGGTACATATGAAACTAAAAAAGCAGAATACTACTTCTTGAGCATTCTACTATGCAGAATTAGGCATGGAGGTTTTAACCTGCTGAAGGAGAGAAAAATTACCTTTTGCAAACATGGTTCTGGTGTTAATAACTCCATAGATGTATTTAAAGATCTACAATTAGGTCTTGAGCTAGATGCAGGCCTTGAAATTTCATCCAAGATCCTACTTGTAATATCCACTGTTACCTAAAATTGGGAAAAAAACAGCAAAAACAACATTTCAAATGAAGAGTTTCATAATAAAGCACTACAAGCCCTGCAATATTTCAGATATAGATCACCTAAGTTTCAAATGCTTTCTAGAAACTCCATGTTGCAAGGTTTTTCCAGTTCAGTCCAGCTTGCCACTCACGTATGTGCTTTTTAACATACACACAAATATATATTTATACCATCAAGCCAACCAAAGTATTCAAAAGTGCTTATTATCAAAGACACTTTGAATGGCATACATCTTACAAATAATCTCGCAACAGAGAAATTGCCATGGCTCTTCTTTTTCTTTTTTTTTTCCCTTAATCACTGGACTGACAGACTTGGCACCAACAAAAGAATAACGGCATTTTAAACACATCTTGAACACAAATAAAACAGCCAAACACTACTTATGTTCAAATGAGAAATTCCTATATCTAAACGTTCACATTCCCAACCTCAGTTGAATTTTGAGTTTAAACCACAGACACACGTTTCTTTGGAAAACAAAAACAAAAAAACCCAAAAAAACCAAAACCAAAACCAAAAACCAACAATTCACAGGAATTCAACATCTCAGTGCATCATGACACGTCCTGGCAATTCTGAGAAGGCTCAACTGAATACATGAAGTTTTTATTTCAGTATAAGGGAGGCAGGGAGGAAGGCAGGGAGGAAGACAGGGAGGAAGGGAGGCAGGAAGGCAGGCAGGGAGGGAGGGTGGAAAGCAGGGAGGCAGGAAGGCAGGGAGGCAGGGAGGAAGTCAGGCAGAGAGGGAGGAAAGCAGGCAAGAATGAAGGGGGGCAAGAAGGCAGGGAGGCAGGAAAGCAGAGAGGAAAGGCAGGAAGGCAGGCAAGGAGGGAGGGAGGAAAGCAGCCAGGAAGGGAGGCAGGGAGGGAAGGAGGAGAGCAGAGAGGAAGGCAGGGAGGCAGGGAGGAAGGAAAGAAAGCAGAGGAAGGCAGGAAGGCAGGGAGGGAGGCCGGAAAGCAGAGAGGCCGGCAGGGAGCGCAGCAGCCCGGTCCTGACCGCGGGAGGGCAGCAGCAGCAGAGGGCGCCGCCGCCGTTGCCGTGGCGACCAGGCCGGCGAAGTCTCGCGATAGCTGCGCTCTCCCGGCGCGGGCCTGTCGCTGCCGCTCCGGTGCCGCTCCGCCCCAGGGATCCGGCTGTGAC